TTCGTTTATGTTGCAAGTTATGATAAGCTTCATAAGTTATACTCTAAAACCTTAAACTAACATTCATTTATTACGAAGGAGTGCCAAATGTTCATATCAAAGCTAAATGAATGCTTACATGTTACACACGCAATATTGATAAAGAAAAGAAAATATACCTTTTCCAAACTCAAATTGCCTCTAAAACAACATGATAACCAAGTATGTACTCATGGGTGCTCATCAATACTCTTACACGAAAGACGTAAACACTACCACAACCAACCAACATTAATGAATCACATTCGCGCACAATAGCCTCAAACGAAAATTAACTCCAAAGGTCAAATACAGTATAAAGAAACCAAATCGAGTAATAAAAACATGTACACTTCAACTTTTGCCTAAACCATCAAACAACTTCAAAGATGGACATGACTTCACCTACTCACCAAAGCAACAAAAAAACTAGACCCAAGACATGAGTTCCACGTCTGTCCAAACGATAAACCATTCACGACACAAGACACCATTATAGCCTCTACGCAAAGCACGAACCAAGCCCAATTAGGGAAACGTCTTCACCTCCTACTATAATCGTAGCTCCCCTTCACTCTCCCTTCCTCTCACACCACCAACGAAACCTAAGCTCCAAGTTTCGCTTCTCCTCAAATTGCATGTACCCTAGATTTCATTCAAACATTTAGGTTTTTAATCTTCCTCTCTATTTACGTTTAACATGAAAAATATCCTTATTACCCTTCTCAAAATTCTTTTTCCAAACTGCCTTCTAACAACAAAACCAATTGTTCAGTAAAAATTAATTTATAATGATACATGTTTGTGTCATTTGAATGTAGTTTGACACATGTATATCAAACTACATTTTTTTGTATGTCAATCAATCACTAGTCTCAACTAAAAAACGAGGGAAGATTCGTAAAAGACAAAAATACCAAAATGCCATTGCTGTGGTGTGATTAAGCTAAGGGTAAACTTGTCCATTTTTTCAAAGAAGACAAATGATGAAAAAACCATCATTTAGGATAGGTGTTAACCAATGAGATCGGGTCAGTAAAGTAAATTACCTAATGAAGGAAATTTCTTAGTTATAGATTGACTATTCTATCACTCATTTTCTCTCTACAACTTATAGAATTTTGTCCAAACTCAATCTACATAGATTCAATATTAATATTATTTTAATATCTCAACCATATTTTTACAGTAAATTACTTATTATTTACCATTATAATAATTTAGTTTCTTTTATCTCTCTAATATTTAAATAAAAAAGGTATAATTCAAAGTAAGTATGAATATTAATTTAAAATATATAAGAAAAATGTGAGATAGTTAATTATATTAATGATAGAGCTTACAAAATAGATTATTATTGATCTTTCAAAAAAAACGAGTCTAGCTTAATCCATCATAAACTTATGAATTAAACAAGGTTACTCACTTAATTTTACAAAAATATTATTATCTTTAATTTTTTTTAATATTTTTAATGTAAAAACTAAAATCAAATTTAAATTACTAAAATAAAAATTATAATGTGCTTTATATGTTCATAGGCATGTCGACACTTGTCTAAACATCCTTAAATCTCATGGTTTGAACTACGTGACGACATGGCCAAATACAATTATGAGTAGTCAATCCTTATGGTCTGACCATGAACCATAATGGTATGGTCGAGTATATGTCAGCCAACTAGTATATTATGGCAGCATGACTAGCTATAGATTGACCAAGTATATTCATCATGCGGAAAACTTACTTAAAGTGATAATTAAGCAGATGGATTAACCAAAGATTAATCAAGGTAATTATTTACCTGACTTAACTAATCTAGGTAAAAACCCCCCATAAGCATAGTAGAAATAACATATAAGAGATAAATTAATTACATTTATTTATTACAACATTAAGTACTTTCTCACGTGTTATGTGTGAATGTAATTATTGAATCGCATTAGCAGATGATAGCCTCAAACAAAAAATAACCCCAAAGGTCAAATAAAATACAAAGAAACTAAAGGGAGTAATAAAAACCTGTACACTTCAACTTTTTCATAAATCATAAAACAATTCCAACAAAGGACAAAACTTCACCTACCCACCAAAGCACAAGAAAACCAGACCTAAGACATGACTTCCACGTTTGTCCAAACGAAGAACCACTAACGACACAGGACACCACTACCCCCTCTACACAGAGCAGAAACCAAGCCCATTCAAGGAAACATCTTCACCTCCTACCGGTAATCGTAACTCCCTTTCACTTTCCCTTCCTCTCACACCACCAACGAAACCCAAGTTCTAACTCTAGTTTCTCTTCTCCCCAAATTGCATATACCCTAGACCATTCAAACAATTAGGTTTTTAATCTCCCTCTATTTACATTTAACATGAGAAATACCCTTTTTATCCTTCTCAAAATTCTTTTTCGAAACTACCCTCCAACAACATAACCAATTGTTTAATAAAAAATAATTTATGACACGTGTGCATGTCATTTGAATGTAGTTTGACACGTAGACATACCAAACTAAATTTTTAGTACGTTAATCAACCACTGTAGTCTCAACTAGAAAACGAGGGAAAAAGTGAGAAAGACGAAAATATCAAAATTCCATTACTGTGGTGTGATAAAGCTAAGGATAAACTAATTGTCCATTTTTATAAAAAAACAAATGATGAAAAAACCATCATTTGGAATAGGTGTCAACCATGGATCAATAAGGTAAATTAGGAGAAAATTTCTTAATTATAGATTGACTATGAATATTAATTTAAAATATATACAAAAAATGTGAGATAGTTAATCATATTAATGATAGAGCTCGCAAGATAGATTATCATTGACCTTTGAAAACATAGTTTGGTTTAGTCCATCATAAATTCATGTATTAAAAAAGGTTACTCACTTAATTTTTAAAATATATTGTTATTTTTAATTTTGTTTTTATTTAATATTTTTAATATAAAAACTAAAATCAAATTTAAATTACTAAAATAACAATTATAATGTGTTTTTTTCATAAACATGTCGACATTTGTCTATACATCTTAAAATCTCATGGTCTGAACCAGTGAAAAGATGGCATGACCAAGTACGCTTAGAAGTAGTCATTGCTTATGGTCTGACCACTAACCATAGTGGTATGGTTGACTAAATGTCGGCTAACAATACGTTATGGGTAGTTATAAATTGACCAGGTATATTCATCACGTGGAAAGCTTACTTAGTTAATTAGTTGCATGGATCATACTCAGGTAAAAAACTCATAAGCATAGTATAAATAGCATGTAAAATGAGATAAATTAACTACATTTACAACATTAAGTATTTTCTCACATACTTGTTTGACTTGAGCATCAAATTATCTTTTGCAAGTATAATTTCCTACTCGATTTGGAGAAGATGACCCTTAAAGAGGATAAGTATCCCTACGATTAAAGACTTGAAGCGTTTGTAGTGCTTTCGGAGTCTTTACAGGATATACATTTGGGTTTGTAAAAATATTTCACAATTATTAAAAAAAATGTTATATTAATATGTATATGATCATAAAATAAATAAATACATTCACTAATATATGTAAAATAATATATAGAAATGATAATTTTAAATATTATATTAATAAGCATACTATATATAAATATTAAATTCTTTTTTTACTTTTTTATAGTAGCTTACAACGGATTCAATCTGGAAAGTCAGATTCTTACTGAATGTGATTTAATTTTGTCCATATTAAAATTTACAAATAATAAAATTATATTTAAATTTGTGGTGGGTACAATTGACTAAGAAACTTAGAACTCTAATAATTAATTAATCACAAAACAAATCTATATTTTCAATAAAAAAATTGATAATATTTTATTAAAATGTATATAATTAATGCTAAATACTCATAAACCCATTATTCATATTTAAAGGGTCAAACCCTTTAAACACTTACAGTATAATATTTTATAAGAATTTTCTTATGATGTTGTTTTATATATTAAGAGGATCTCAACAATATGTTTATTACAACGTTTTCTCTAATAATTAAGCTTTTATATATGTTTTGTATGGTTACCTGGTCATACGATTTGACAAGTCTAAAAATTATTCTAAGTAATAAAAGTTATTAAGGGTCAATTAAGGGACAGTTAATGAGAATAATAACCATTGATTGACGATTAATAATAATAATAGTCATTTATAATATTTATAAATATATCTTACAAAAAAGAAGGTAATAGATTCTAATAACTAATCTTTATTACAAGATTATTATGTAAAGGTAATGACTCGAGCGTCGAGTATCTTCTGAATACAAACACCCTGTCCCATGGCTAGAATAAGGAGAAGAGAGAGAATAATGCAAATAAATGATGGAATAGACAATTTTGAATGCTTTGGATTAGAAATCTCAACCCTACCGAAACCATATAAGGTTAGTTTATTCATAATTATTTATTTATTTAATTTTATTATTACAATTAAATATTAATTAAATGTGAACTCTAGCTAATCATATTCATATACGCGCTTTAAATATTTTTTTGTATAAAAATCATAACTTTAGGATATTCTTATAAAGTTAATTAATTCTCCATTACCTTTGAAATGTCTTAATTCTATATACAAAGAAGATAAAATAAAAAAAATTTCAGTAAAGGTATAAATTAAAATTAGCCAAATCACACTTTATATATGTATTGAATTATCAATTTTGTAATTGGACAGAAGATTATTGCTCTTACAACTTTTAATCTTAACTCTAGACATTTTAAAAGGGAACAATTTCCCAATATTTTCCTTTTAGTTAACTTATGTAAGAGATGTTAACTTTAGTATTTGACCTAATACGTAACCGATCTGAAATATTTTGATGACAAAAGACAAAATTTCAAACCCAAAAAATTGTACACTATTTTCTCACACATGAACTCCAAAACCTTATAAAAAGCCACAAGGAACTACTTGTAGTTACTGCCTTCATAGAGATGAAGAAAATGTCATGTTTTTCTTCTCTTCTTGTTCTACTGTGTCTCTACAACCTCTCTTTCTTAGAAGCTCTAAATGGTGGATTCAGTGTGGAGATAATCCACCGTGATTCACCAAAATCACCGTTCTATAGTTCCTCAGAAACAAAATTCCAAAGGGTTTCCAATGCTCTGCGTCGTTCCATAAACCGTGGCAACCATTTCAGCAAATCCATGGTGTTTCCAAACACAGTAAGTGCAACTGTGATACCAGATTTTGGTGAATATTTGATGATGTATGCAGTTGGAACTCCACTGCGTAATGTGTTTGGAGTTCTTGATACAGGCAGTGACATCATTTGGTTGCAATGCGTACCATGTAGAAATTGTTTCATACAAGTCACACCTTTGTTTAATCCTTCAAAATCCACAACATACAAAACCATCCCTTGCAAATCTACCTTATGTCATTCTGTGCTAGGTACCTCTTGCTCTTCTAGCATCACCAAAAACTGTAAATATGATATCAGCTATGGTGATGGTTCATTCTCACAGGGAGATTTGAGTGTGGAGACCCTCACTTTAGGTTCCACCAATGGATCTTCCATCCCACTTCCAAGAACTGCAATAGGGTGTGGTCATAACAATAGCATCAACTTCAAAGGGATAAATTCTGGCATAGTTGGCCTAGGACGTGGACCTGTGTCGCTTATAAATCAATTGGGTTCTTCAGCAGGTTGGAAGTTTTCTTATTGTTTGGTCCCAGAAACTCCGAATTCCAAAGCAAGTAGCAGACTCCATTTTGGAGATGCTGCTGTGGTTCTAGGACCTGGAACTGTCTCAACCCCATTGTTTTCTAAACCTCAACAAGTATTTTACTACCTAACCCTAAAAGGGTTCAGTGTGGGAAACAATAGAAGAGAATTTGGAAGCTCTTTGTCTAGATTTGGAGGAGAGGGAAATATCGTAATTGACTCAGGTACAACACTGACTCTTTTGCCAGATGATGTTTACATATGGTTGGAATCAGCAGTGTCTCATGCAGTTAAACTTAATCCTGTTCAGGATCCAAATCAGGTGTTGGGACTCTGCTATAGAGGTACATTGGATAAACTAGATTTTCCAGTGATCACAGCACACTTTAGAGGGGCTAATGTGTTGCTGCATCCTATTAACACCTTTGTTGAAGTGGCTGATAAGGTTCTGTGCTTGGCTTTTCAGCCAACTCAAAACGGTGCTGTCTTTGGAAACTTGGCTCAGCAAAACCTTTTTGTTGGCTATGATCTGAAAAAAAATACAGTGTCCTTTAAGCAAACAGATTGCACTAAGATGTGATTAATTCTTTTTTATTATTACTTAGTCTAAGTAGAATAAATTATATCTTATTTTATGTATTGTGTTGCATTCTAGAGAGTTCGTATGACAGAGAGAAGATATATTATTATTGACTTAGGAGTGTTACCTTTCTTCTTCCTACACCTCAAAAATTACACATTCAACTTTTTTGTTAAATTATTATTTTTTACTTTTCTCTTTTCTCTCTTCACTCTAAACAAAACACAAACTACAAAGCATAAATCAAGCCAAATAAGAAAAAGAAAAATTATTTTTTGACACACCTACGTTTTTTTTACATTCATTTGACATTATTCTTATTTATTTTGTCCTTTTTTCTCGAAAAATAATTTTTTTTTACACTTTTATAACTATTTTAACCTTATACTCTGTATCAAATGAATGTCAAAGTTTGTTATGACACCATTGCTCTAAGGAAACTCCACTTCTCTCCTTTCTTTTCACACTACCAATGAAACCTAAAATCTTACTCTAGTTTCCCTTCTCCTTAAATTAAATTGTATATATCCTAGGTTCCATTCAAATAATTAGATTTTTAATCTTCCTCTATTTACATTTAACATGACAAATACCTTTTTACCCTTCTCAAATTCTTTTCCCAAACTGTCCTCCAACAACATAACTAATTGTTCAGTAAAAATTAATTTATAAGAACACATGTACGTGTCATTTGAATGTAGTTTGACACGTAGGCATATCAAACTACATTTTCAATGTCATTATCCACCATTGTAGTCTCAATTAGAACACGAGGGAAGAAGGGAGAAAAATGAAAACACCAAAATGCCATTGTTGTGGTGTGATGACGCTAAGGGTAAACTTGTCCATTTAGCCAAAAAGGACAAATGACAGAAACACCATCATTTGGGATAGGTGACAACCAATGAGATGGGTCAATAAGGTAAATTACCTAATGGGGAAAATTTCTTATTTATAAACTGACTATAAATATTAATTTAAAATATATAATAAAAATGTGAGATAATTAATCATATTATTGATAGAGCTCACAAAATAAATTATCAATGACCTTTCAAAAAATAGTATGGGTCAATCCATAATAAATTCATGGATTAAATAAGGTTACTTACTTAATTTTTTAAAATTTTTATTATTTTTAATTTTATTTTTCTTTTATAATTTTAATATAAAAACTAAAATTAAATTTAAATTACTAAAATAAAGTTTATAATATGTTTTGTTCATGACAACAAATGTCTAAACATCTTTATATCTCATGGTCTGAACCACGTGAAAAAACGACATGACTAGGTAGGTATGCTTAGAAGTAGTCAACCATAATGGTCTCACTACGAATCATAGTCGCCTAACTAGTATATTATGACAACATGACCGACTACAAATTGGTCAAGTATATTCATCATGTGGAAAACTTACTTAAGATTAAGTAGATGGATTAACCAAAGACTAATCAAGGTAATTAATTAGTTGCATGATCATACTCATCCAGGTAAAAAAGTCATAAGCATAGTATAAATAGCACGTAATATGAGATAAATTAATTAAGTTCATTTGTTATAGCATTAAGCACTTTTTCACCTACTTGTTTGACTTGAGTACTAGATTATCTTTTGTAAGCACAATTCCCTACTCCACTTGGAGAGATTGACCCTTAAAGAGGATTAATATTCCTAATATTGAAGATTTGAAGCATTTATAATACTTTTAGAGTTTTTACATATATATAAACATCATCTGGCCAAAAGTTAGTAAGTGTCGTGTTGTACATTGGATGTCAATTACGATATTTCCTCTTTCCTCCAAATCTAGACAAAGAGCTTCAAATTCTCTTTATGCTTTTTCCCATCACTGAACCAGTCTAGGTTATGGTAGTATTAATACTTGTTGAGGTTTAGAAAAATCAATGGGTTGGAGACATGTCCATTTTTTTTTGGTTCCTATGAACCTCAGCATGCATCTCCAAAAGGAGTTGCTATCTTGATTGGATATGCGACGTTTGGGATTTCAAACAATAGAAAACTTCCAGCCTACTGAAGAACCCAATTGATTTATAAGCGGGACCACAGGTCCACGTCCTATGGCCAACTATGCCAGAATTTGTCACTTGTGAAGCCATGCTATTGTTAGACCCAACACCCTATGGCCTGTTTTGGATAGTGGGATGGAGATCCATTGGTGGAGCCTAAAAGTGAGGGGGGGGGGGGGGTGGGTTTTGGGTCTCAACACTCAAATCTCAATTGTGAGAATTTGTACCCAGTCACAATAGCTGATATCATATTTACTACGTTTTTGGTGATGTAGAGGAGCAAGGAAGGTACCTACACGAATGTGCATACTGGTAGATGTGCAAGGTTGATGGTTGGTATGTTGTGGATTGTGAAGGATGAAACAAAGGTTTGGGTCTTTGTCTGTACATTTTCTACATGGTTTGCGCATTTTGCAAAAATCCATTATGATGTTTTTTTTTTTTTGCACTGCCGTTATCAAGAACTCCAAACAACCTTACGCGGGTTCCAACTGAATACCTCATCAAATATTTTCACAAAATCTGGTATCACAGTTGCCCTTCTGTGTTTGGTTTTAAACACCATGGTATTTGCCGGATTGAAATGGTTTGCACGGTTTATGGAACGAGCAGGAGCATGGAAATCCCTTTGGATATGTTGTTTTGGAGGGGAACTATAGAAAGGTGATTTGGTGAATCACGGTGGATTATCTCCACACTGAATCCACCATTTAGAGCTTCTAAGAAAGAGAGGTTGTAGAGACACAGTAGAACAAGAGAAGAAAAACATGACATTTTCTTCATCTCTATGAAGGCAGTAACTACAAGTAGTTCCTTGTGGCTTTTTATAAGGTTTGGGAGTTCATGTTGTGATGGGGAAGTGCATACCTAGAGAGAATATATAAATGGACATTGTAAAGAAGGGATAAGAGAAAAGAGAAATTTAAAAATGGAAGAGATTAGAGAAATGGAAAACTTAGGAAATGAAGAAAAGATGCGCCACTTTTGAACAATAGCTCCAAGATAAGCATCAATAGGAGAGGACCGCCACTTGCTTGAAACAAGATACTTTAGGTATGCCCAAATTTGGGACTTTAGAGACAGAAGTCATCTCAAGAGGATTTGCCAAAGTTGCAAATTCAAACTCAAAGTCATTGAATGTCAGGTAAGGTGTCCACAAATGATTTAGAAACCCCTAGGTTGCTTATATAGCTTTGAATGACCTTTGGTGATGGAGTGTTCAAGAGATTGTGGGACTTGGAAGGCTCAAGTTTCTGGCCAGCAGTAGCGGCACGTCCCTAGGTGCATGGGAGTCCCCTACATGCTTAATTCTCTCATTCCAAAAGGGTTTTTTTTATAAGCTTTCTGAGCTCTCCTAGGTTCAAAAACTAACACAGTTATGCTTCCTTAACTCCTACACGCCTACAAATGCTCACTTTGCTCTTCTATTCTTGTTATAGACTCAAGCTATGGTAAAAGTTTCCCACATTGTTCTTGTACTTCTTAAAGAGAAAGAAGAAGTTTATAACCAATTATTCACAAGTAACTAGAGAAAGAAATCAAAAGGCAAATACACGCCCAAAGAAACCATTCTACTCTTTTGTGTTTTGTCACTTTGAAACTCTTCACACTTGACCCATTATGATATATCATCCCCCCCAGGTTGGAGAGGTGATTCGATCCTCGAATATCTTGAAAATTCACTTGCTGCCAACCATTAATGAGAGATTTGTGTATTATTTTCGTGTATATACCAATTAGCAAATCCTCCCTGGATTTTTCAAATGTCAATCTGCCAAAAATGTATATAAACATTTGTGAATGTAATTTATGTGCCAATAAAATTGTATAAAATCAAGTAAATATGTTAAAAGAAGTCTCCTGTTATATTTTTATTGCTTTAGTGAGTGAAAACTAGGAGACCTATATTTTAGTTTAGTAAAAAAATTATTTGTGTCTGGTGGATTTTGGACCCAATGGGTTTTTGTAATACAACTAACTAATGACATGTTCATAAAGTTTATTGGAATAGTTGGAAAGAAGGAAATGAGGGAGGTTTGAAAAGTTGTGCAAAAATATTTTGGAACAAGAAAGAAAACTTAGTTTTAAGGAGAAAAGTGAAGGATGAAAAAACCCCCTGTCATGTGTTTATATCTATTTGATATGATGTGGGAAGTGAATGGTGCCTTTCAGTATACATTCCTTTTGACTAAGACTTTTTGTCCTTCTCGTAGGTCTCTCACAAGTCTTCTTTTTACTTTCTTTTTCCTTCCTGTATTTATTTGCTTCGCATGTCTCGTCTTTTTAAACTTCTCTCGCTCTTTCTGTTTCTGTCGGCTATTTAAACAATCGTAAGCATTGTACCTTCTTCTTTTGGCATCAATTTCTTGATGAGACCCAGAAGTAGCTAAGGTTGGTGATGAAGTAAGGATAGACGTAGAACTCATTAGTCACAATTACTTCACCCTAAATGCATGTTGCCGGTTTGGTGGGGCATTGGCAGAGGCTATATGGACATTTTGTCCTAAAATTTAAATTACATTTAAGTGACGGGTCTAGAAGAAGAGTTTAGGTGTGGGAAGAGGAATGGTTAGAAGAAAAATGAGGAAAAAGATTGTTAGTGGGCTCTTAGAAAACATCCTTGTTTTTATCCTTGTAGAGAGGATGGATTTGGAAAAACATCCTCTGAGATTTGGAAAATTTTGTTTGGACAGCTTCTTTTTTTTCAAGAGTTTCTTCTTATCTTTCATGGCTCTATGAACCACTACATCTAAGTCTCATATAATGGAATCAATTATATCTATTGGATGTTTGCTATTAAGTCATAATAAATCTAACTATATTGTTGCATGATCGTGTCTTTAAGGTTCTATGATTTTGTATGGAGCACATTCGAGCTATGCGCGCATTACTCCTCCACATATTTGTCTTCTACCTTGGAGTATTAGCAGTTTTGAGCTAATCAAGAGGTCCATTTTATGGTAGTAGGGAG